CCTGCACTCTGAAGATGCTGGTCACAGATGCTGGCGAAACGTTAGGAAACAAAACTTCCAGGACACGGCCACACAGCCCAGAAGACCCACACCAGCCATCATTTTAGATACTTGTTTTTGACATTTGACCCGACTGGTCTCAACCCCTCGTGGCAGCTTCATAATCATTATAAAACAAATATAGTCTTGGTGCAAGCTAATATCTCTTCTGCATTGGTAGGAACCTATTTACATGTTTGCAGTTCATTCCCACAGTCTCTTTAAGACTGAAACCTGGCATGGTTGGAACTCAAGCCACATTTTCTCTCTCCATTCCCATTTTTCCTGAATTTTAAACTATCAGCTTAACTCTTTGTTGCATTGGTATATCCAAAGTGTTTTAAAGCAGTGCTGGAGGAAACCTGGTCCCAGACCAAAGAAACCACAAGAGATTCCTGAGAAACTGTAATCCACTGGATCAGTGTAATAATTTCCCTAAAGAACAAAATCCTAAGTATGACCTCCTGGCTTTCGGTTTCAGGAAACCATTCACCTCTTTTTTGCCTTGTTTGGCAGTTCTCCTGCATCGCAAATGATGTTTCCCTCCCAAGAAAGTTTGCTTTGCGAATTTAATCAAGCTCCTTCGAGCAGCTTCAAAGGATGGAAATGTCTAAAAGGAGAGATTTTTTTTTTTTACGGATGGTGATAATTATAGATCAGCACTAAAACAGAAAAACAGTTGTATGTGGGTTGTTCTGCATGACAACAAGGAAGTAGAGTAACTAATTGCTGATTAATAAGATAAAAACATTTCCATTTGTAAAGCACCAAGATCCTCTCTCAAAGTGATCAGATAAATATTTCTGGGAGCAGGGAGTCACTAGGGCTGAACTCCTACATAAAGTTTGTGTGTGTGTGTGTGTGTGTGTGTGTGTGTGTGAGAGAGAGAGAGAGAGAGAGAGAGAGAGAGAGAGAGAGAGAATAGCATCCTTCTCTTTAGACCACAAAATGAATTAAGGTAATTCATCCATTGGAATTGGTCTGCTGAAAAAAGCAAGTCGCAAGTAAGAGAAATAGTACATTTTCCCCGCAATATTGGTGTTAAAAAGCTTTCATGCAACAACAAGCAACAATTATGGTTGCATAGCCACCAGGTCCAGCAATAAAATGCAGGCTGGCATCTAAAGAACTGGGTCAAGTCCTACCACGAATTTCATAGTAATCTGGGGGGGGGGGGATTTGCAGATATTGAAATGGAGGTCAATAAAAGTGGTTTAGAATATCATACAAGCTTTTATTACTACCAAAAATATCATCTCTTTTTGAGTAGTTTCTTGCTCATCCGTAGTCCTCACCTGCCTTCAGGGGCACCCCTGATGGATACAAATCCATCTGCATAGCTTTGCCCGGTCCTTCCATCCAGCTATTCCAAAATAGTGACACAGCTAAATCATTGACTCATTCACACATGGCACAAAGCCATTAAGTGGCCTGTTTGATTTTCATGTCATTTGGAAATCAGTCATTATCATGTGTAAGTCATGGTTTACAAATTCATGTTATGTGTGAAACAAACCATAGCTAAGGACAGTGAGTGGATAGGACAAGTGCTGCTGGCTGAGTGTCCAGCAAACACATTTCATTGAGGCTAGACACAGACAGTAGAAAAGGAGAATAGACAGCTTCAGTCTAGCTTCACACCCTTTCCAGAGTATGTCAGAGGAATTTGGGGGCTAGGGTGTTCATGCATTCATCCTTGCCCCATTACTGTTGACCTGCTCTTTCTGCCACTACCATGTACTGCTAGCAGAACGCTTCTTCTGTTATCTGGGTTGGAGGCATGGTGGAGCTCTAAGTCTTCTGGGGTGAGACATTCATATTGCTTCTTTTGACCTGCCAGATCAACCTTCCCCAACTTCACATGCTCCAGATGCATTGGGTCAGAAACTCCCAGAATTCTAAACTTTTGTCTTCCTGGCTTGGAATTCTGGGAGATATAGTCCTCAGAACATCTGGAGGACACCAGATTAAGAAAGGCTTTGTTAGATAGCTCACCAACCTTACATTTATGTCCTGGAATGGATACTTCTATTTAAGGTACACATTTTTACACCATGGCCGCACGTGATCACTCCAGAGCTTGAAAGGTAACCCCAGAGACTAACTTCCAAAATGTGTTATTTTTTTTTGTGACAAAAAGGGAAAATTACTAAAGACATGCTAGGATAGCAATCACATAAATATATTTTAAAATTAAATATAAATGAATTGAAATCAAATTCAGTTTTGTCTTACTATCTAATGTTGTCTTCACCTTAGAAAAGATTGGGCATCTCTGTTCTGTCTGAAAGTTGGAGTTACAAATAACTCAGCAGAACCCTAACATTAAGCAAATTTCTGCTGGAAAAAAAGGCCTATTCAAATTTATTTACTCTGTTTTACTGCAAAGCAAACTTTATAATTAACTAACCAAATAAAATAATCAAGGATTTCATATCATCACCATCATCATCATAATTTTAAACTTGGATTGATTATACTCTATGCCTTGGATAACAATATTTGCAAGCTTCTGGTTTTTGAATGTGAGACTGTTGCTACCCCAAATGCAAAACTTTAGAACATGATCTTACAGAATGCAAAATACTGTAATGTAAGCAACACTTTGTAGAGAAAAAGACATCACTGGCATTCTGAAACAGAACAACAACAAAAAAGGTATGCTCATTTTCTGAAAGAAATTCCCTTCTGATTTGCAAGGTGCAAAACATATGGTAGATTGGCAAGTGCAGTTGAGAAGTGCTTCATAAAATCTGCATGGTTCCCAGGATAGTTCCATACAGACAACTTGACTATCAGACTGGTTGAATTCTACTTGTTCTTCATCACCTTGTCTTTGCAATCAAGGTGTGAAGAAGGCAGCAATAATGAACTCCAGTTTTACAATCCTGAGAATTGGTTAGACTGAAGGCATAAAGTCTGAATCTAACACTTTGCACTGCTGTTCTGCAGTCGCTTCTTACTTTTCTAGAACTGACATATTTCCCTTGTGATTCAGAAACTGCCTATCTCTAGAAAATTAATGAAGTTGGCTATTGAAAGGTCTAAGCCCCCTACCTTCCCATTTTGCTGGTTTGCTGGTATGTCTGTAAATAAATGTATATATTAGGAAATGCCTAATACCTCCTTCCAATATATATATATATATATATATAAATAATACAACTGACAGAGTGTACGTTTACTATTGAGAGTGGGTGATCATCATGATCATCATGATCATTATCATCAAGATATGATCATAAAGTATGGCAGCAATTTAAAATAACATCTATGGACAAAATGTCCAGGCAGTAATACAATGCAAAATAAAAAGACCTATTCGCAATAAGGCTGGGAGCTCTTTTTATATAACTGCAGAAAATGATAGATTACAAATGTTACAATAAGTAAATCCCAATTAAGTCCAGTGGTTTCTGTCAGCAATACTGCAAAATTGAGCACTTTCTTCCACTGTTGACAGAATGGATTGCTTTGTAAAAGTGTGCTGTTCTCTGTTGGTGCCAAGTTGAATATTTGGTAATTTGAAGCATTATCAGTTCTGCTTTCCGGGGATGATAGATAAGGCAAGCTGGAAGGGATGATATGAAAATGTAAAGGAAGTGCAGCCATCTTGTCTTTGCAGTTAGACAAAGCCTTCTTTCTATCCATCCTGGCTTATTCGTCATCCAATCCATTTAAGAGGGGAGCATGAGAATTGTTTTGCTTCTTTATGCCAAGTCCAAACCTGATTTGTCTGTTGCTCCTTCTACAGCTCTGGATGCAGCTATAAACAATGATAAAGCATAATTCTAATTAGTCCCACTCGGGTCCTATTCAGCTGATTGCTTATGATGTCATTTAGAGGGTAGGCAACTGTGGAAGAAACTTTCAGCCTTCAAAACCCTTCTGCAAACAACCAGTTCAATTGTTTTACAAGAATGAGACAATATACCATATTTTTCCGACAATAAGACGCCCCCATGTACAAGACGACCCCCACTTTTCCA